CATATTCAAGATTAATGTGCGTTCTTTATGACTGTCACTAAAGGTCGTCTATTGTTTGTAACGGGTGTGTACCTGTAGTTAACTTGTTAGTAACAGTATTATGGTATATCTTGGTGTTTTTATGTGTTTTAGCTGCAGAAAAGTGAAGACGGAGGTACTGTGACTGCAGGTATACTTAAAGATTAGTAAAACTGAAATAACTAAATAGCTTACTGTTGAGTTCAATAGTATATCATTTCAGTTTGAGGATTACAATTAAAACATTACATCATTTGAAGAAAACAATATTGTAATAAAAGGTTTAGTGCCTCAATCCTACAAACGACTTTATCATACAGATAAGAAGTAAAAACATATTTGTATTTTCAAATTAAAAAATGCAGTAACTATTTCTACATTTTTCATAACTCATCCCTAAATTTGTATTTGTACAAAATGAACCTTCTGACCCAAGAATAAACTCTCTCTCATATTGAGGACCAATGAATTCGAATTCAGTGTTCTGTGCTTTGTTCTTCGGAAAAAAACAATATGCATATTATTATTTGTTTATAATTGTTATACTCTTCATCTATTTATTACCATGAAGTTGAACATTTATAACATTTCATTCAAGAATGATCAATTTAGTTGTAATGCATGTAGGGGATTCGTTGATATGAATGCATACTTAATTTATGCATTAATGTTGTCGCCAGAACTGTGTTACTTTGTTTTGCTGTCTGTTTGTCACATGTCAATTGCCCATAGTTATTCATATGAACCCTTAAAGACTATATGTCTGTGTTACCACTGAATAATAAAGATATCCATTGATGACTTTAAAAAGAAAACCTGCTTTTTAAAATATTCTGGGAAATCTTGTGTTTGGTTTACTGTTTGTTAGTTTTTGTTTTGTTTTTTGAACTAATACATTTTTTTAAATCAAGTCTTTTAAAATTTATAGAAACAATTTCAGAGTGGGAGGAATTACTTTTTCTCCAAGTTGTCAACAACTTAATATTTTCATACTATTTCAAGTAATGTTGTGCAATATATAATTATGGTGATAATTTATGGTTTTTTTTTATATTTATCCTTTAGTTGCACTTCAATTATGTCTGGCTTTACAAATAGGAATAAAGTGCTTATGCAAATGTTATGTAAATGATTAGTAGACTCTTTCACCAAAAAATATCTCTATTATAGAAATCTTAAAGGTAAAAAACCTTGTCATGTTTTGGCACAACCTCCTATAAGATTTCTATAAAACAATATTGATATACAATCTCTTGTAAGATTCCTAGTTCCTATTTTAGCAATTCTGTCGGATTATCCTATCGGAATCCTTTTAGAATGCCCTGTATCTATAATTCAACATCTAATGAATGTCAATTTCAGTTTGTTTGAGTGAAGCGAAAATGGTTTCTTGCCCTCAATTTGGCATGTTGTATATCCAGATGAGGTAGTGCTTCATAAATACATTGAGCGAGTGATGATGCTCATACTAGGTCGTCAGACAGCACAGCAATATTTTTAAACTTATTTGCTCCCCCTAGCAGCCAGTCTAATAATATGCAGAACAACTTTGAAAGCCAGTTTCAGAGCTTGTCCACAGAGACACCTCGATCTGCTTTATCATAGAACTCACGACCTATTCCATCCTCGAAAAATATCACGCAGACCTACAGCAGTCATTTGTCCGGGTTGTGCAAAACAGATGGCTTTTTTTTGCGATCAACTGAGGTTCAAGGTGCACCACGACATTGCAACACTAAAGCGTGAGATTGGCGAGCAGCAAGAAATGGCTCAAGAACGAATGGTTGAGCACATCAAGGCTACCGACTCCTTCACATTTAAAAAGAAAGGAACAGTCGAAGTATAATAAGAGACTGGCTCTTAAACTCCACAGCGCCCAGACGAACCTGAGACAGAATCAGATACAGCAGGTGGCAAACGAGTTAAAAGAAGGTATGGAAACGCTGAAGCACCGACAAAGGTTTATAAAGATGGTCGATCGCTCAGAATTTGGTTGGAGTATTGTCCAAGAATATGAAGCGGATGAGTTGGCAGTTGACAGTGAAGATATAGAGCTATGAGGAAGCGCTTAAATAATCAGCGTGTTTGGAATAGCCAACTTGACCGTTACAGAAATGATGATTCCAAACAGAGAGCAAAGAGCTTTACTCCCGACAGCCATTCCTATGCTAAGTATCGCACAGCTCGGTCAAACTCAAAACTGAGCATTGGAGACAGGACTGAAAGAGCGTCCTCACAAAGTGAAAAAGATAAGTATGTTGATAGTTTTCCGTCATTTACATATCTGCTTGTAATATAAATGCGAATGCCGCAAATAGTTGCAACCTGTTATGCAAGTACGAGAATATGTCCTCTTGTATTTCGTCATTTGACAAGATAAGAAATGTGGGTGCAAAAGTACACCACCATGTAAGTATTTTCTCGTTTTAAGTTTTTTTACATATCTGAGTAAATTGACAAATTCTATAGCAGTTGCTCAGTTTACAAAGTCGCTGTCACGTGACAAGTATTTAGACAACACTTAAGGTATGTCGCCTTGTCAGGTTCAGTAAAATTCTGTTTGAGGCAGACTTGAAAAATTAGAGCGCCGTGTGTAGTGTTATACGTTATTAGTTTTGGCTATACAATACCTTTTTATTTCTACCCCAAAGGAAAAACACTTTCAGAATAACTCGCCGGCTTGCAAAAATCACGAATTTGTTACTAATGAAATCAATACTTTGCTTAAGAACGGATGCATTTCTTGTATTGCCAACCGAATGGTTGTCAGTCCTCTTAGTGTAGCGATATAGTCCACTGATAAAAACTCATACTTTATTTACGTTATGTGAACATGCACGAAAACAAACATTAAAAATCAAGATTTGGCTACTGCCCTGAATTTCTTACAACATAGTATTTGCATGTTTTCATTTAATATAAAGTCTGGTTATCACCACATTGACATATTCTCTGAACATCGTCCCTACTTGGCATTCGCCTGGCCATATGGCAGTTCGAACCACTATTTCTGGAATTTGGTCTCTGCTCTGCTTCTTGCATTTTTACCAAAGTTGTACGTCCTCTGGTAAAGTTAGAAGGGCGCAAGGTATATCTATAGTAGTCTACATAGACGATGGGCCCGGTAGTGATAACTCTTACAACTCGTGTGAGCATGTCAGTAAGCGCGTGAGGAACGGTATATTAGCAGCAGGTTTTGTTCCAAATGAGGCTTAGAGCCATTTGTCGCCATGTAAAAAAAATTATAGATTTAGATTGTGGCCGAACTATGGCGCCTCCTGAGAAGGTTACAAAAGTCAAGACTAACATTTTAGATCTATTGCATAGTTAGTACCAATGTTTCCGCCAGACAGTTGGCAGCAGGGGCTGGTCATAGCACTTCCACCTGCATTTAGTACGATCACTCGCGTTAAAACAAGAAATGTGTTTGATGTTATTGCGGAAAGTCTACTTGGAACAATAAAGCAATGAAGCACGCGAAGAATTAGAATTCTGGTTAGGCGATCTTTCATTATATACTGGCTTTATTAATTCAGTTAAACATTTTCGTATTTTGCCTGGCAGAAGCGGGCAGATGTAGATCATTACAAGTACCTGCAGAAACCAGTTTTATAGTATTAGGCTTAACTTCACTTAGTGTTGTGACGACGTTGTTTTTTCTACTACATAGATTCTACACACAAGGTAACATCTGTATTCTACGCTATCAAATGGTCTCACAACACGGCGGGGTTACCAAGCCCTACTGACAATCCAGTGGTTAAATTGATTTTTGGAGCGGCAAAGAGGGGGGAATCTAAACCAGTTATCAAGAAAGAACCAATTACACTTGAAATGCGTTATTAGCTAATAGTTATACTGGCATTGAAGCCAGCTTATCAGACATTCGTTTCATTGCATTTTATTTTCAGATTTGAAGAGCAACATTCGACGTCCAGATGTTAAATTTTATGATTCATATATTTCTATTGCTATTAGGCAGTCAAAAACAGACATTTACAGAGAAGGTAAATAAGTCGTGATTGCAAAGACTAGCAATACCACATGTCCAGTGGCAATGCCACATGTCCAGTGGGTGTGTTATCTCCTTATTTTCAGCTCGCAAACGACCCAGACAGTTTCGCTCAGGAGGTGCGTCTGTAGCAACTCAGTCTGGTGTTGGGGACAGAATGCTCAAGCGTCGTAGCAGGTGGTGGAGTGACAAGGCGTGACATGTCAGTGACACTTTGGATGAACGCCTCAATGTCTCCCGTGACTTGAGTTTGTAATTTCCCAAAGGGATCATTTTAACAAGCTTAGAAATATGTATCTATCCAAGACAGGCAGTGTTGTGTATGAGAGTTTCGGGTTATGCGAGAGAGAATTAGAGGAGAATGTCAATTTCAGTTCGTTTTAGCGAAGCGAATTAGAATGGAAATGTTATCTTATCGTCAGAGTCTGTCCTACATCTGGCATGTTGTATATGCAGATGAGGTACTGCTCTATAAATACAGTTAACGAATGGTGATGTTCATACTCGGGCGTCAGACAGCACAGCAGTATTTTTAAACTAATTTTTCCTAAAATGCTACTGCATGTTTTTTGAACAATTTTTTTATCGCATCACGAATGTAGTTGCCGTACTTTGACGCAACTACGGGCTGCTGGGGGAGGGGGCTGCTGGCTGGACGCGCCTTTCCATATTATATACTTGTGTATGCGAGTTTCGGGTTATGCAAGAGGGAATGTTAGCAATGTCATTGTACAACAAACAAACAAACAAACAAACAAACAAACAAACAAACAAACAGCAAAATACGTGGTATAATTTATGATATATATAATATTTTATTAGAGTTATGCGTTAGGTTCACAGATAGATATCAAATCTAGTTCATAGAACAAATCTATAGATCGACCAGCTAGAATTCGAAATTACAGTTATATATCGCATACGAAACCTCTAAGCATCTAAGCTATATTCTATTAAATAATACGTTTGGTTGTGATCGGCAATAGAGTGATGTTGGGACGTATGATAAGTGTCGTGGTACCGGTTTCTATAAGAAAAATGGTTGGAATGAATTACCATCATACGTTACATGGCGTTAAAGTGAAAGACACAAAGGCAAATAAGAATGTATATTGAAAGCAGAATAAAACGAAGTAGTACGATCCACGCACATTAGTTGTCAAGAAGAATGTACACATCATTTGCCCATGGTCCACCTTCTCCATCAGATTTACAGGCTGTAGATGTTCCATATTTAGTATACGTCTCTTCTGCATTCTCGCTAGACGCACACCAACCACCATTCTGCACACCAAACATCTTAAAACCACGAGCACGAGCTGCTTGAGCACATTTTTCGATGGGGTATGCGCGTGACCCATAAGAACCATCAAGGCGGTCATCAGTACCTTCAAGGGTTGGTATGGCTCTATCAGATGTGTCTCCGAAACAACCAAGTCTAGTGTATTCTGGAAAAATATAACAAGTCAAAGAATGTCAATTATACTATTTTCACTGCTATCACAGAAGAACACATGTAATATAGTTATTCTGTTCTCTCCGTGAAGTTATTCAATTTATATACAACGTTTATATTTTGATATACCTTTGTCGGTTGTGTATATATAAACTTCGTTTGCCCATGGTCCACCTTCTCCATCGTCGGCACAAGCTGTGGATGCGCCATATTTACCAAATGTCTCAACTGCATCGCTACTTGATGCACACCAGCCCCCATTTTGCAGAGCGAACATCTGAAAACCTCGGTCTACCACAACATCGGCACATTTTTGTATTGCATTTGTCCTGGCAGTGTATGCCCCATCTAAACGTGAGTCTGTGCCCTCAAGTGTGGCAATAGCCCTGTCACTAGTGTCTTTATAACAGCCAACTCGTACGTAACCTGCAAACACATTGCAATTACACATTATAAACGTTTACAGGAAAAGTCTGAGTATATAGGTGCAGTAGCTCTACTGACAAGTATGTACGTATACATAACCAACAGACTGACTATTGTGGAGTATGGTAAATCATACATGACCATTGGGTCATTTTGAATCAAAACCTGAGACGCATGAGACTGCCATGCCAGTGTAAAGTTTGTTTTCAATCAGTTGGGTTATGTCATCGCGAACGCCATTATTTAACACATTGGCCGGTATTTGGCAATGTAAATCCCGTATGAGCAAAGGGTGAACTGCATTTCAACAATAGGTGCTTCCGGAATAGCAATGTGATTTTCAGTTTGACGCATTTGTAAATATAAAATTACTATAAAATTACCGCCATTGTGAATGTACGATGTTTGTAAGTGATTTGATCAGACAAAATTAACCAATTATACGAAGTTTAAAAAAATATTCTTTTCTGTTCAGCAAATTTATTCTTTTCTGTTCAGCAGGTCAACCTTTATAACTGAGTTGTAAATTATTAAAATTACATATATGTGTAGCCTAATTCAATGTTTGCAATATTATTATTTATCTTTTAGTTCTGTACTCTACTTTGTAAAAGGTCGGGAGACACAAAGCTGCTGATGTATTCAAAGACGGGACCACACATGTATGCGTACATGTATCCGAATCCAAAATGGAACTAATGCAATTCTGCATACCTGGGGTGTTTGTAAAAATGAAGACATCATTTGCCCATGGACCGCCTTCTCTATCAGTTTTGCAAGCTGTTGAAACATCATATTTACTGAAGGTTTCTACGGCAGATGCACCGGATGCACACCAACCGCCGTTCTGCACACCAAATATCGAATAACCATGATCACCAGATACCGCTGCACACTTTCCAATAGCATCTGCTCGATTCTGGTAGGAACCATCCAAACGGTCATCAGTTCCTTCCAGCGTTGGTATAGCTCTATCAGATGTGTCGCCAAAACAACCAATCCTAGAGTATTCTGGGGAAAACATACGAAGAAGAAATGTCAAACAAAACGATTGCCCTAGTCTAATCATACAGTGCACATGCATACAAATATTAACAGAAATCTATCACACTTTCGCCATTAGAGAAATTAAATTAATAGATATATTAGTTTAGATAAGCATTTTAAGTCTTCAATTTTAAATTGGAAACAGTACGTAGCACAGTGTTGATGTTTGGTAAATGTAACGATCAGTTTTATGACAATGACATCTTTCCAACTTCTGAAACACATTCGTGATTTTAGGCTTTCAGATATATATTTGTTTCGTATTTATATGTAATATCAACACATACAATTGATTTTTCTTATACCTACCACTGTTATAGGTGAACACATATACCTCATTTGCCCAAGGTCCACCTTCGCCATCACTTTTGCAATCTAAAGAATCCCCATATGTACCAAAAGTAGAAGTCGCAGTACTACTTCCTGCACACCAACCACCGTTCTGGAGAGCGAACATTTGAAAACCTTGTTCACGGGCTACTGCTGCACATTTCTGTAATGGATTTGTACGAGTGGTGTATGAACCATCTAGTCGATCATCTGTGCCTTCGAGAGTGGCTATGGCTCTTGTACTCGTGTCTTTGAAACATCCGACTTGGGAATATCCTAGAGAATTCAAACATATGAGATATTAATGAGGCGATAATCTGAGATAAATATATACATAGTCTTAAATACAGATGGTATGTGATGTTAACAGGTGCTCAGAAATGGTTAAGTACTATCTATACATTACTTATTTACTTAGGTTGAGGCCGATATCAAACAAATAGCACCACTAACTGCGTTGGTCAAAGCAGATGGCTAAGATTTATAACAGCAACTTGGTGACGGTAGTTCTATATATCGATCCAATAGTTGTTTTATTGTCTTGAGTGCCTAAGATTTAACATTATAATCTCACTGTAATGATTGTGAGCCCAAACACTAATATGACGTTGCTTGGTGTGATTTGTGGTCGCTTTGTTACCTTCCCAACTGGCGCACCGGAAACGAGCTTTTCCATATATCATAATGTTAGCTCAATATAGTTAGATTACTCTGTGGGGCGGTACTTATACCAGCACCAATAATGCAATTCATGAGGACAATAACATGCAATCCAATATCAATTTTCTAAGGCAGGAATATTTATGGACGATCGTGGAATAATTTATATGTATCAACGAAATAAAGAAGAATTGTATAATGTATTGGCATGGTTTGCTCAGCAATACATCCATACCTCGTCTAATATGTATGTAGACATCATTGGCCCATGGTCCACCTTCCCCATCAGCACCACATGCGTCAGATGTTCCATATTTGTTATACGTCGCGAGTGCAGTAGCACTGGATGCACACCAACCACCGTTCTGTACGCCAAATATATTAAACCCATTGTCACTAGACACCTCTGCACATTTATCTATAGAGTTTGCGCGTGACCCATACGAACCATCCAATCGGCTATCAGTATTTTCAAGGGTCGGTATGGCTCTATCAGATGTATCGCCAAAACAACCTAGTCTAGCATATTCTGAAAACAAAGGTTATAAATAGTATGAATGAATTATATACTTTGTTTACTACATGATGTCAAAATAAATCTATGACATAATATACAAATTATCTCCAATGTTAAATTTCCACTCTCTACTACCTAGACAATAAGGGACACCGATATATGATTCAGAATTAAGTAAATATTGTATGATATCATTAAACAAGAATTGTGTTTTTCACTTTGTTAAGACAGGCATGCCAATTATAAAATAACCACATGCCTCATTTTTTATGTAAACATCGTTATATTACGAACTGTCAAAATCAAAACTGATTTCCACGGGAGAAACCCCTGTATAAGCTATATGATAATATACTATGCTAACTATTTTTAATACCTTTATCTTTCAGTATATATACATCGTTCGCCCATGGTCCACCCTCGCCATCTGCAGCACAATCTGTGGATGCACCATATTTATCAAACGTGTACAACGCACTACCGCCAGATGCACACCAACCTCCGTTTTGCACAGCAAACATCTTAAAACCACGATCACGTGCTACCTGGGCACATTTATCTATTGAGTGTTTACGAGATTGGTATTTTCCATCAAGACGGGCGTCGGTTCCTTCAAGTGTCGGAATGGCTCGGTCACTCGTGTCTTTATAACATCCAACGTGTACGTATTCAGCGGGTACAGGATACGATGTATCTAATGAATGAATAATGCGTGTTAGTGTATAACCAAGAGACAGAAACGAGAAAGGTGGGAAGTAAATCATTACATTTTAAGATAAATGATATAGATGAGTGAATTTCTTGTCATTGATATTGCATATTGAATGAATACAAAGGTTTAGTGAAGGTTCCATAAATTTGACAAAATTGAAATTTGTCATAGTCATAATTATAGTTAAGAGTAAAACGCAGGAAAAATATACATATGGTCAGTCATCATCTGAATTGCACGGTTACGCTAGCTCGATGTCAGCGTACCCCCACGAACGCGTACCGGATTGTACCGAGAAGTCGCATAGATGTGATTGGAGGCGCATTCAAAGCCTGCAACTAATCAGAGTTGGTGTGAGAAAAAGTTATAAACAAAATTTGCGTTGTTTGTTGCCGATGGCGAAAAATCGCCTCTGCTTCTTTGGCGGTCCATAGCTTCCACTTTCTTCGGTATGTGGCCTAGTACTGAAAAAATAGTCGGTTGAACTATCTCTGTAGTCTATCACTTGATCCGGTTACAATGCGTATTTGACGCAGGCACTGTAGTTTATTACGTCCGTCCGTTTTATCAAGGTGCATCAATAAGCCTGGTACAGAGCCACCGTCTCAAATATGGGTCGGTCTGTGCAAAAATAGCTTTGCTTTCAACTCCTAAAGTCAGTTTACAGTTCTAATCTATCGTAAGTACAGTTGCTATGTTCTCTAACGTGTGATGGTTGGAAATCTATGTTCATGAACTGAGAGCATAATATAGCTTTCGAACATTACTGTCAATTTATCTTTGGTATTGCCAAAGAGGACTCACATAAATATACATTGACTAAAGTAGAATCCAAAAAGTACTAGTTATGTAGAAATATAAAAGAAGCGAGAAAAGATAAACAATAAAGTTAAAAGTATTTCCCCAAAACGGTCTAACGCATATTGCTTTGAAACACAGTAAAAGTGTTCATAAGTGCCGACATTTATTATGATTCATACTTTGATAAATACCTACAATTCCAGTATATTTAGCAGTTATGGTTTCATATTTTAAGCTTACCTTTATCGCGTAGTACATAAACCTCGTTTGCCCATGGCCCACCTTCTCCATCACTGAGACAAGCACTTGACGAACCGTATTTATCAAAAGTTGTATGCGCAGTGTCACTAGATGCACACCAACCACCGTTTTGCACCCCAAACATCTTATAACCAAGATCTTTTGCTACTTCGGCACATTTCTCTATTGCATCTACTCGCGATGTGTAGCTACCATCCAGTCGAGCGTCTGAACCCTCCAGTGTTGGAATGGCCCTGTTACTTGTGTCCCCAAAACAGCCAACTCGTTCGTATCCTGCATCAACAAAACACAGCTTGTAAAATAAAATGGTAGTGTACAATATATGTATATAAACATTACTGAATTATAGTGCTATTCCACTACAAAATACATAATAGCTACAGAGTTTTTCGAATTCTATATCATGTAAAATAGAAGTAAAAACATACACAAACATTACTATTATTCAATCGAATTTAAAATTCCGACAATTAGGATCACAACATAAATAATTGACAAACATTGGACATGGTTAACTAAACCAAACATTGGACAACTAAAATCGTCCAAACAACAAACAAATGTGGTGTAAAAATACACTGTATAATAAATGAGAGGAAACGATTACAACCTTTAAGAAAAGATTAGGCAGTTGCCGGTGCTCTACAGATGAAATGGTTTTATATTGGTAAGTTGCTTTCAACAAAATTATAAAATTCAATTGATTATTTCAGCCAAATTAAAAAACTTGGTCAGCGACTGCACATTATATAACGCACATGTATGAATAGTTTTCAAATTAAATCACTAAATCGATTTTAAGCAAAAGTTGTTATGACTATTTGTTTATATGCCAAATATTGCGATGATGTACAATTTCAAGCTAATTAATGATTTCACTCAAATATACAGAAGTTTTTTTTACAGATTTCCGAATTTCTATTTTTATATAATTTCTCAATTTAACAATAATATTTCAGAAATCAGTGCTTCGAGCTGGAATTTAAAACAATAATTTGTTATGAGAAGATTAGGTTATGAACAACTTGATATGATCAGAAAAACGACTAAATGTGGTACGGAGGATCGGAGTAAATTGTCATTCCCTATCGTGCGTTAATACCAATGTACATGTCTCATAGATGATGAATACCTGTGTCTTCTTCTAGTATATACACATCGTTTGCCCAAGGACCACCTTCGCCATCGGAATTGCAAGCTCCAGACATACCATACTTGGAAAACGTAGAGGCCGCTGTAGCACTAGATGCACACCAGCCACCGTTTTGCACAGCAAACATAGTAAAACCACGGTCACTTGCTACCTGGGCACATTTTCTTATTGCATCCGCTCGGGCCGTGTAAGAACCATCCAACCGAGAGTCCGTGCCTTCAAGTGTCTCAATAGCTCTGTCACTCGTGTCTCCAAAACATCCAATGTGCACATAAGCTGTAGAAGAAATTAATATAGACATTACAACATGAAAGACTTATATGTCTATATTTTTGACAATTAACGTATAAGCAAACTATCTACTCTTCGAGAACAAATTATTTCAACAGCATTTGCCACATGCAAATTTGTTTTATTGCTAAATTCTGTCATGCGTCAAACTACTCAGCCAACATAAACAAATGTTTTTGTGTGTTTTATTTCAGTAAATTCGCATCATGCAATATATTTATAATTGCGAATGCATGTATCAAATACATTGTATTACGATGATTACAACTAATCATAATATATTCTTCACAATTGCATGTGGTATATTTTTATTTATAGGTGATTTCGCTACAAAACGTACTTACGTGGTTCTTTACTTGGAAATAAACTTAGTGTTAAATAATTACAGTACTTATCAGTATCATTCTACAATCAATCTTAAATAATAAATTCACAATCTTAAACTGACATGGGCTAAAATTATTATAGTACTTACTCATTGGAGCAGTGGTACCACCATCGCTGCCACCATCAATAACAACAGTACCACTAGAACCACCACCATCGCTGCCACCGCCAATAACAACAGTGCCACTAGAACCACCGCGGCCACCACCACCACCACAACTTCTCTTATGTCGTCCTTTCATAATTGTTGCTCCTGATGACTGAAAGTGAATACACATAAGGTAGATAGGCACTTAATTTTATGCAGTTTTTGTGTCTATTTCGTGAAACGAATGTAATACCTAATTCAACTTCAATGCTGTCACTCTAAACCAATTTGTATATTTATGACAACATTAATCGTTTACGTGACAGTACTGACTATGCAAACTTAACTCATAAGTGTCGAGCGGGTGCAATTTATTTTTGGCAAATTTTCATTAGGGGTAACTGTAGCTTAAATACTGAAGTGGTTTTAGGTGTACTTGCATGGAACGTTGTATTTCATCGATATTCTAGGGCTTGTTATAAAATGGTTATTAAAGCGTTGGACTCGACAAAGAGGTTTATACAAGCAACAGATATTATAAATTTATTGTATATATGGTTTTGGAATTTTTATGTTAATTTCAATCTTTTTATGCGGTATAATTAAATTTGCTCTGGCAAGACGTTTGTGATCGAGTCATAAACTAGAAGTGGGGACAACACGGCATAGTAATACGATGATTTCTCAGGCTTCGGTTGAGAATTTGTCTTTATTGAGTATTGGAAGTTAAGTTGTTTAGGATGAATACCATTTTATTCAATTTTGTCCATTGAATAAACAGTTCCAGAGTCAATCCAACCAACGACAAATACAACCAGACAATGTAACTCCACCGAGCATGAAAACCGCCCTTACCTTGTTTGAAATTAGCATTGCGTGTGGAACTGAATTTATTTGTGAAACGCGTGGAGTGAGGGCAGGTTAGTGCAGCGAGTCTAGACTCTAACGCCCACTTATTTAAATTAAAGCGTTTACTGATTGGATGTAATTTGTACTCACTCGGATGTCACAAAAAAATGTTAGCTGAACTGGTCAATTGGAATTCCAACACTGATTCAAACAACCATTTTGAATTTATAACATGTTATAGAAATGCAAGGTTTAGTCTCGCACTGTTAAAGATTGTATACGAATTTGAGTGCATTTTCTTGGAGTTTATGGGACATTCAAACACTTACCAAATGTATGCAGCCCATGGCTACAACCATTATTATTATTAGTGTCTTCTTCATAGTTATCGACGCGTTCAAAAAACGGTGTAATCTGTATGCAAAACAGAGATGTAAATATAAATATGATATTCTGCCAAACATCTGAGTATATACATTGATAAGTAATGGATTTAGTTCCAAAATCATATTCTAGTCGTCAATGTCGAACTTTTTCCTGGGCCATCTTCCTGGAATGTTTTAAAGCACAAAATCCACAAATCTCATGCCTAATGTTCACCTTGAGATTACTTGTGATACCACCGAGTTTGTTGTGTGCGCAGTGGCGGCGGCAGGAGGGGCGGTCGCCCCGTAAAAATAGCTGAAACCCTTTGTGTCAGCAAAATGTGCCCCTCAAAATGCAAGAAATAGCGTTTCAGAGAGTCTAAATTTGAGCAGACCCCCCCCCCACATGCAACATTTCGTGGCGCCGCATCTGCTGTGGTACCAGTAGGGATTTCAAGGGAAAATTATACACATACCATATGCATTAGACAGATCTCTATTAGAGCAATGCAATGTACTTTATTTGATGAAAATCAGGGTAACCGTTCTCGAGATAAGGTACTTTGTAGCTTCAATCAGCATCTCTTAATTTTTTGACAAAGGATGACACAACAAAGCACTACTGAATAGTAAAGACAACGGCACCATTTTGAATGAATAAGCACTAATTATTTAATTGTAGCTGAACGTAAACTGCCATATCTTTCCCCTTTTTTATCAAATTTTCACCAAATTTTCATCAAATGAACTTTATATCAATGTTTATCTAATGTCATGAGCGGGCAACATATTAAATCATCTGTCAGTGTCAATAAAGATAAACAAATTTTACTTTCGTTTATGTTGCCTTCGTTTTTATTCCTATACAAATGCATTAAAAACGCCCTCATCGATCGGCTATGCGTTCTACCAAGCTTTGCTTATTTTTACGCTATAATATTACTTATGAAACAAAAAGCATTGACACGAATAAACAAATCTAAGATATAACATTATAGCATAATATACAGCTTATTTTTTGGCAACTTAGAAAAGAAGTATGCATGGAAAACATAACTGGGAGCTGCCCGGAAAATCTGAAATCTCTGTGCATGCTCAATCCATTTTTATGCCAAAATAACCAATAAATCATCTCAATTCTACAGCTGTGAATGCTCTAACATGTACAATTCGTTTTACTTTGCATTTACGCTGCATGTTCGACATTTTTTCGTATCTTGCCGTATATGAGAGTGAACGAGTGAAAAATTCTTTTCGTACATGAAAATGGCGTCCATGTAAACAAAATACTGGGATGGAGGTGAAGCTACGAAGGTACCACTTTTAAAATGGGCTTGTTGCACTCTCTAAATTGGTGTCATACTCACAAAACTATTAACTATTTTACTATTGAAATATATTTGTTTTCAAATTATGAGTGATAGATATGCCAAAATGGTGTAAGTCGATACGAAAATTGCCGTTAAACTTTTGTTTTTATTGCCGTTTCGCCAATTTTCGGCCGATTCTCACCTATCACCTCTCATTCTATAGCTGTCATCACCTACTTGATTTCAGTGGCATTTTCAAAATCGTACGGTCCACGCCAACGCGGGGAAAACGCAGCAACCTTCTCTAGATTTAGAACACCGGGTCAAATTTGGAGGTCATGCTCGCGTTCACGGCGCTTGCCAGGATTTTCAAATGTTTCAATTTTTATTCTCTCGTATTGTCAAAACGGCTACTCGCAATGGATTGCAATTTTCAGAAAATGACCATAAGATATAGAGCTAGAATTCCTGATAATTTTTTTTTTTTTTTTTTGCTTTTAGTTTTGCTTACATATTTTTTATTTTTTGAAAGGGTAGCTGCCCATGCCCACTTCTACCGATTTCATTAACCAAGTGACTGAAATCCCTAGTACCAGGTCCATACTTTTTATACCATTATACCTCATTAACATAATTGTAATACTATGCAGCACATGGGAGTGGTCTAGATTTGTGGTTTCCTCTTAGCCCGTCTGTTAAGACATTCGAGACGCACCCAGTTTTTCTGTCACTAATATCGGACCACGTACTGAATGTGGCAATTCACAGTCACCATGTTGCAGAGTAAGCTAGGATTGCCGACCCCGCCCGCGACTTGCAAAAAAAAAAAACACAAAAAAACAGACGAAATGCTCTTGGACGGAATGTCTTATGCTAACATAGCGAAATGTTTGGTGTGACGAAATCACCTACGTATAATATATGCAATAAATTCACATCAACTCAACGTGGTGCTGGCGGTCCCTCGTAATGTGTGAAGCTTACTGACAACGTATTACATTACTATATTGAATTATACCTAACGATCAATACATTTTGAAATAGATTAGAAGAAAGTTGGTCGCCGAAAATGTCTATACCATCGTTACTGCCCCGCGTCTGTCAACCGTTCATGGTACTATCACGAACACTTTGGGATGAGCCGAAAGAAATTAAAGCGTGAGGGTCGTCATTTGCGCTCGCGTGAGTATTGAGCCACGAGCAATTATAAAAACACACACTAAAAACGCGAAGGCTCATGGGTAGACGTCTGTTTGTGAACAATGACACTCTATGGCCATCTGACACATGCGCAGGTGATGACTACCCCGCTTTAACCAGTGTTACCGCCGAGTATAGAACAAAACGTAACGACAAGTGAACTTTATGTATACTGTCACCAATTATGATGTTGAACATATTCATTGGTTTGATGAATCGTCAGTTATTGAAACCGCTGGTAATCGCGAAACGCCACCAATGTAAATTATACAGTAAAGTTGCTTGTAAGCGCATCCGGGATGACTACACTAACATTATTGATTGGCCATCCAATGGTTTTGAAATGGTGAATTTTTTTGAGGAAGCTGTGAGAACTAAAGACTCATTTTATCTAGAGAGAGTTGCGTAAGTTTAGGCAACTGCGGGTTTCATCGTGGCTGTATTGTCGAATCAGTACTGACGGAGTTGTTACGTCGACAAGGGGCTGAACGTTTGTTTCAACCACCTCACAGTCCGCAGTTCAAAGTATATTAACTCTGTTTTAGTTATTTAAAGGTGTATCCGAAAGATGACGAGGATATATGTATAATCATTAAACATTAATAACCAAGGGAGGTGGAAAAAAAGATGTATTCAAAGACAGTACTCACTTATTATCTCTTATCTGGTGAACGTCCAGACCGCACTGTCGCAAAGTGACAATTAATAGAAATATACACTTATATTGTTTCACATATACCAGCATATGTCCATGCACGTGAGAACAAAAGAGACATATCGTAAATCATCTGTTTTTGGAATAGATACGTCGATAGTACCTTCTCTTTGCAAATGTAGTACCACGCGCAATTATTTACAAGTTTCCTTAAAAATATTATCGAGATGGTAATTTATTTTGTATGTGTTAAATTCCACCGGTCAAGCTAATAAATGTGGCGGTGATGCTGTTTTCAATATTTGTCCTCACTCGAAGCCCGGTTGAATTATAGTTTTTTCATTATGGTGCGTGTTACTAAGCATGTATAGGGGAGTGTGGTTGAAGCATTGAATATATATAGATAAACGAATTGCACCCCCTGGAAACTAATTAAAGACCGTTGGTCCTAATACAACACGCAACGGGATATCGCGTGTAGCAAATATTCTCATTCACACGCACCGCACACAAGCCATAAATGCATGTATTGCAAACAAAGTTAAGTTATTGTGTCATAATTTGTAAGTGAAAAGTACTTTTAGTAAGTACATGTACTTTAAGTGTGAATGAAAAGCACACATGTTTGGATACTTTGCAACAATCCATTACACGTGTTTATATTTAGACTGCTGTATACAGTCACTGGATTGTGTTGTCAGCAAAATTTGAGATACATACATCCTGTCTCCCCCTGTGGCATAATGGTGAGACATGGGCATGGTAATTGTGAAATATCTTGGAATGTGCTGAGCCAAGCGTTGTTGGCAATGACAATAGATATGACATCATTGACCCGAGTCTCCTACTTTAAATTGGTAGAGCTTGAATGAAAAGTGGTTAATTCCAATACAAAATTGTTATCCTCTTTGCACTGATTTGTCCGCTATTTCGAAATAACCAATCATTTCGTTGGATACATTTTATTGCTTGCATGGCCATAATTTAGTTGTAGTATTTAAGTTGAGACATGTGTGAAAACCTTCAGTCGGGGAGGTTTCCTGCCCATTGACACGCAGATCACCGCACACCAACCGATCTGACACATACCGCGCGTGGAACTATGGGAAATATGCTCGGAACTATTTCCACATTGTGTCAACACAGATGGTGCTATTCGGTTGGTTTGCGATCTACGTGCCAATGTCAATATTGAGAAAAATAGACCTTTGACCTCCCAATTTACAGGCATTTTAATGTTAATAAAATAAGACATTTTGATGAGTGCTGTGCTTTATTTTTATTGATCAACTCATTAAAGAATAAATCTTACTAAAAATCGAGAGAGAATTTGTTCAAAACAAGAAAATTCTTGTATATAGTTGGCAGATGATATTTAGCCGTCATAGGCTAGTTATACGACATAATACACAGGTCTGTGCTGAATAGCGCCACTTGTGTTGACACAATGTTTCCTGACTTGATGCAATGATCCCGGGAACCGCCGTAGGCGGCAGTATTTTTATGCGAGGTCAATTCCGGAACACCAGGTCATTCCTAAACGGGTAATTAGGACTGAATCGAGAATGAATTTTGGGTGCCAGAAATCAACCAAAGGCGCTTATTTCGGTGTAATCTGCGCTGTCAAGACAAAGTGCAAGTTAATAAAATAAGATTGACAACGTATTTCCGGGAGAAAAAAGTGAATTATTTGTTGAAAAAAGTGGAGATAAATTGACACGCAAAAATCGTGACGTCGAATCCACGCATGCAATGCAACGTCATGGAAATTTTCCACAAATTTAAATATATTCTTAACAATTGCTTTACCTCTAAAACTCGCCAAACAATGCATCGCATATAAATTATGACAGCAATTTACTAGGCCTATGGTCTGTGAATGATTGTTGTTATGTGCACATGCACGGTGCGACTAGTAACAATTACCTGACCAACCGGTCCTGCACGGCCACCGTTTTCACGATGCATCTCAATTTAGCATCTAAAACCAAAATTTAGGGACGATATGTGTAAATACTTAATAGTCTGGTCTATGCAGACAGCAATAATGAAATTGCAAGAATGGCATTGGCAAAATGATGACCTCGAATGTAGCCATGTCTAGGGCATGGATATGATGTATAGTCTTCGCCCATTAATGTAATGTTATAGTGTCTATGGAGTATGTGATCATGATTAATCTTCATGATCATTTGTAACCACGCCATTGAGTATTTGGCATAGGCTACACTGCACAATATTGAGCAGAAAGTATTGCAATAATTGCATTTCATTCACCACATAAATTGGCATGGCTGGCTGTACCCATTCTTACTTTTTCATGGCCATTGTTTGGCCCACTACAATTTTTTTTTTGATTTAGGCTGATTGTTGTCACATGCGAGAAACAGCTAGGGCTGCAATGTGTACATCAAAAATGCTCTTATCATACTTGTGATGTTTCTATTGTAGGTAAATGGCCACAGCAGGAATGTACATACCTGTTATTTATTAGGCAGTAACTGATAGGGACAATTCCTTGTGCTGATGTCTACATACACATGCACATCAGTGAAAGTTTTGCTGTCACCAGCTGCCATTCTTGAAATGGTGCCATCGATCAACAGTTCTTGTCACTCAATTAAATCTGAAACAATGAGATGTGTTGGCATTTGTTATTAAGGCCAAATATTGTTATGGAAATGAGTTACCTTTTTCTAAAATGAACAAAAGTTGATATTATTATCATCGTGTCAAAAACAATGTTTAAAACGATTGTATTTGACACAGACTGAACATGTTCGAAAGCAATCTAAAATAATAATAAAATCCCTGCCTAACTACCCAATATTTTTTACCCTAATACTGGAAACACCGAATTTGTTTTCATTCGCCTCATAATGGTTTGAGATCTTTTTAACTTGGTCCATATAAACAATGAGGAATGAGGATTTTACTTCCTATAGCATGTGTGTGGGTTGTCTTATGCAAACCAACAATGCTGCCGTTGCACATGGTGAATTCATTCCAGTTATATGTCAGATGGCACATTGCCATTGCCATGCGATAAATTCATGACTTTTACGGATTCTATCAGTCTGATGGGATTGATATCATTCATATAAGGCAGTGATATTCTTATAATTACGTTTCATATATACTCTTTGTAAGGGGGTATATTTGTACGACACCCTGTAACATTGCATGATATGGCTCTTGTACAATGATGTAAACAGTTAACTACTGGTTTTGTACAGTTTATTTTTGCTACACATTTACTTATTGAAAACAACAAGATGTAGTATTTTTGACAATATGACTATTACCAAATTGGTTGTCGGTGGTGATACCTATCATTTGGATCTTCCGTCAATACTTATGCGTTTTTGCATCACGAGTCGTTTCGTGCGCATCATACCAGATTTAATCACAACACTCTGTTTACAACACTAATGTACCTCATTATAATGTACATTTACATAAATGAGTTTAAAATGTAAATATGTTTATACTATTTACACTATCTTTACATGGTTGTCTTCCAACTAGTCATGCTAGTGATGTCTGATAGCAACTGGCAAAATTACAATCGAGTGGTGGGTGGGTCATAGTCAAGTACAAATAAGCCATTCACCTCCGAAGAACAAATATGATCATTTATTCCGATCAAGTACTTCAACCTCACCCTATTGATTCAAATGGCATAACCAACAGGCTTCCTATAACACACAACACCATATTCACATAATTGTTCATACATGTATTCATTGTCACAGCAAAATAAATTCCATAAATTTACCAATGGCTCCGGAAAATCATTTGGCCATATTAACTATAGCCTCCTTTGTAATTCATCCAATACTTTTGTCTTGTGTTTCCCATTCCCATTATAAAGGTCACGTTTACATTGCGCTGGTTCCGCCAATTATGGATCTTGTAACATCCTGTGATGCTGATTCCTGACACCAGTGAGCAGTACAGGGGTACATATGCAGACGTGCTGTGCATTAATCCCTGCTAATCAACAGGAACCAATGACGCTCACTGCCCGAAATGCTCCCGTTGTACCGGTGCTACTAGTAGCAGCAGATAGCTGTGCAGTTGCCGATACTCTCTGGACACAGATCACGAGTTTACATTGTATTGCAGCTGCTTTGACAGTGTGCCAGATACGAAGGAACGCAACATTGTACATTTTACGTCACAGTATGAAATGTTGATCTTCATTTGGTGAAACAAGTACTTTACTATTATTTTATATTTTAGAACGCACATTAAAATATTATAATTTCACATTTCGTTTTAATTTATGTACTTTGTGACTATGATGTCGAACATTTTGTAGAAAATCGTAGATATTTGTAAATTTAATTCAATAAAATGTCGTTGATTGTCGTCGGTATTGATGAAACCAATCTGTTGAAAATATCGTACAAAGTTGTCAATAATGATTGGAAAGTTGGTAGATTTGTTTGGAAATTTAACCTATTAAGCGTTTGTCTATTTGAAAAATCGATGAAAAACCTGGCAAACGAAAAACAAATAGTTTTATTATCCTCAGAACCATTTAGAGATCATTGGTCAAATCCCAAAACATAGTACAATCGATGGTAATTTTGAAAAATTTCCAAACATAAATGTCCGCCAATTAGAATCAAAATCAGCAGACTTCCATAGCAGAGTGTTCATGTTTCAAATGGTGTGGCAAGTGTTTGAATGGGAGACCGTCTGGGTAAATCGCTAAACTATGTTTTATGTTTGTAAATTTAGTAAATTATAAATCTAAACTGATATTTTTTTGCATATTTTTTTTAATATTTCAGTCATGGTTTGATGTTAGCAATGAGTCTGAATGATGTTCTGCTCAGACATTATTTACATATTCTCAACAAAGTCTAAATAAATTATTTACAAAGACTTTTCGTGAAGGCATCTATATGCATCCAAATACATATTTGATTCCAAAATAATTGTTTAATGCCTACTTGATGTTGGTTGTATGTGTACAAATGGAACAAGAAAGCCTACATTTCATAGTAGTATT